TAGATTTGAAAGAAATGCTCGAAGAGTTTGTGCACGAAATACACTAATTGATCTCTGCTTTTGAATTATAAAAGCAATAGCGGTTCCTCTTCTTACATTAGCGCGACATTCATTGGAATCCAATTTTCATTTTTATAGTGATTTGCAAAGCCCCTTGTGTGGTATACGCCTTATCGGTCAATTTGAATCAAGTGCAATAATAGTAAGTACTGTATGTTGTTTTGTGTCCGACACCGAACTTCATTGCAGTTAATATAAATAAACAATTATCTTCCGCTAGGCAAACCGAAAACTTGAAGAAATTCGTCAAGCTTTAGTAATATATGTGAAGACAATTTTACTATGAAGCAATCTATCAAAATATCTATAAAATTAATATAATCTTTGTACAGACAAAGACGCTTTTACCCTATTGGGACAACAATTTTTTGTATTATTATTGTAACGATTATTACCGTATGACTATATATACATTACAAATTATTTTTATTAATTATAAATTATTAAATTAGATATCACGAGAATGCCTAGTCGCGCAAATCCGAGTATTCGGCACCTTTCCTTACGAACAACACAATTGAAAACATCAACAGTAGTACTACGTTATCGCACTACGTCCATTCTAATCCTAACCTCTTTCCATCGCAACACACAATCAATGTTGAGAAAATCTACATTTGGAAAATCTACATACGGCTTGATCATCCTAATCCAATGGCCCAATGGATTGTTAAGAACTTCACTCCCACAATATGCAATTGTGTATAAAACGTTATGATTAAAGGCATATTTTATGAATGCCAAGATCTTTCCGAATATTCGAAGATTCGTATTCTGAGCGGCTGGCTAACCTTACGAATTATCTTGAAAATAACTGCAGACCTTAAGATCCAATAAATTCTTTAATTTTATACTTTAACCTGAACCGACCGGTTACTCTATACATTTACAAAAAAAGAGTCGACAGGCTTGTAAATATCAATCATATTTATACCATAATTGAAAAGTAAGTAATTGATCCCTTTCCAGAAACACACTTTTCATTAAATTCTAATTGAATCTAAACAATAAATATAATGAGAAAAGTTATATGTACGTTATTGGTGCCACTAACAGTTTGCAAGATAGAGATGAAAATGTTCGTAGTCGTGTTACTACAAAGTGTCAGCCTAAAGGTGATAATAGCTAGAAGTCAAGTTGGAACAGACTTAATGGCAACTGCCGATTACTATATACGCACACGCAGTAGAGTTCGTCACCTGCTACAACTAATTGCAAAATTGTCTAAAGTAAAACAAAAAATTAGCAAATATGGCAAAGTCGGCCACCTTGCAGGTCGTTACAAATCATTTTATTCCAGGATTTTATAAAGGATACGATATGCGTTGCCTGCTAGCTGCCACGTCTTAGCTCAAAAGGTGATGAGAAAAGCAAACAACAAAAATTATAAATTATTTGCTAATTTCGATGCTACTATTTTAAGGAAAACTAACTAATTGTTGCTTGCGTAACCCGTTAATTCGCTACACTGTTTCACTTAAGCCCTTATCCAAAGTAAAGTGCTTGCACAACGTCTTTGCAACTCGTATATAATTTTCAACGCTTCATGTTGCATGTTGTTGTTTGTTTCTGGAAAAAATAAAGATTTCTTATATACCGTACCCTGCAAAAACGAATAAAATTAATTAAATATTAGGCTTTGCTATTTTGCAGGCGCGAAACACAGAGCTATGCAATAAGACTAAAATGATAGGCTGCGAATAAATCTGTGAGCAACGGCAAACCATATAAAACAAAGCACATTTTACGGTCGACGGGAAGATGTCTTGACCCTAGGCCTCCCGCTTGTATGCCGGGCCAAACGATTCGTGTTCAACAAATTCTCTTAAACTGTTTAAAATGAAAAAAGAAGAAGAGCTGACAATAATAGACTTTGAAAAGTAACTAAAACCCGTACGAGTTGCTATACTATTTGTTAAAACAAAAAAAAAGTCGTCCCTTCTAAAATTAAGATCCAATACGTTGTTGTTGCATTCTGGTAAGTCAGAAAAACAATTTAAAACAATAGTTTAGGTACAAAATTCTTGATGGTCACCAAAACCTAAACCAAACCCTAACTTTGTTCAGGAAAATTCTTAATGGATACAAAAATGTAAAGTTAGTTATTATTATTTATAAAGTGTGACGTATAGTCCTTTTCAAAATCGATAGAATAGAAAAGTAATTTAAGCACAATGATTACTGTCGGCCGTTATCGACACTACAAATAGTTTTTTGATGATTACATGAGAACGATTAAATCCTTATGGAGCATTGTCTTAGAAGCACAGAACTGGCATTTCCGGCATTACCGGTATTTTCAAAAAGCACTTCAAAATGTTTTCGTATAGATCGTCATCATAATTTCATGATTACTTTTTTTTCACTTCGTTATGATAAGATAAAGGATTTCAGGGATAAAGGAACAGATTTGGAAATCGTAAATCGGTTAACTCGTGTTTATATATTTAAGTAAGTAAATAACTGTTCCGTACATCCAAAACATAATAGCAATAAAAGGCATTAAATATCGATGTGCAGTTGGGTAAGACGATTACATACATTTCCAAACCAAAAAAGATTTGAAAAGTTTTTAGTTTATATATCCAAAGTATTAACTTTTATATAATTTAGTTAATAATTGTAATAGTTTTGATAAGTTTGGTTATTAGTATTTAATGATTACTGACTTATAAGATACACTATCAACTATCACTAAGATCAACTGATGTTGAGTGTGTAATGGTCATCCTTGCTTGATTATATTTTTTCTTTCACTTTGTCAAAACGTTAGCAACCCTCAGAAGGAAGGCTCACACATCCTACAAAGTGCATATATACATTCTTGTTCAGCTGAATCGATTTAAGTATGTCCGTCTCTCCGACAAATAGAAGACAACGCCTGCAAATTTGCAAAAGAATTCGAAAACGGACCAAGGAGCACACTTACAACCAAAACTGAGGATAACTCTTCTTTCTCTGTCTTTTGCTCAATGCTCATAAACTACAACGGATTTACGATAACAATTTCCACAAGATTGTTCTACAAAAATAAGATAACCTTTATATCCGTCGCAACCGGATATAATTTTCTCACATGTTATTTGTTTTGTTTATTTAGGTTAAATAATTTAGATTTCTTTAAAAAGTCTCACTCTATTTTACTCTTTCGTTATTTTTTCTTACTTAATCATTTTTGTATTTAGTTTTTTGTGGACAGCACTCCTTAGTTGGGTAGTATATACAAATAAAGAATTAATAAGAATCAATTAGGATTAATTAAAATTAATTAATTAACTGAAAAGATTTTTAAACTCAAAGAAACCATTAAAAATAATAACCTGTAATAATGGTTCTTTACAACTTACTTGCCATACGTGAAAAGTAAACGAGTTCGAAAAGAGACCTCTATGAATGAAACTAACGCTTCACAAAGTTGGTTGAAGTCCTTAATTGAAGTTTCACAAATTTTTTCTGCATGCTTCGGAACGATAATTATGGTTTCTGCCATAAATCTATAGCAAATTTGCGATAACGGAATGAAACATTAATCTCATTATTATCAGACGAGACTATATAGTATTATAACCAGAGTTGACGCACTACCAAAAAAATGTTTTCAATCACATATGACTTTCATTGAAAATCCACCCAATTTGCAACAATTTTGTGAGAACAATTTAAAACTTAAAAACGACTTAACTCATATTTTGATTTTTAAAATTTTATGTAGATATATGATTTGTAGCCGGAAATTCATGGTAAATATGTCAAAATTCATTTTTAGTACTGTATTTCATACAGTTTTTTAGCTAACTTCGACCATCATCACGACAAAACATTGAATTTGGTAGTCAACTGTTTTATGGTATGTATGAATCTGACATATGACTATAATGTTTGCTAGAATCTTCAACATCCATTGACTCAGGCACATCACTCAATAATAATAATGTTTTTGAGTCACTTTGTATAAAGAAATCAAACGCGGAAACGCCAGCGAGTGTCATATTCTATTTCTAAGTTAGCTTAACTTTTGGTTTCTTTAATTTCAAATTAAAAATATATGTTTTTTTAATAAGCACCTTTTGCTTTACTTAAGAAACAAGGTCTAAGTCATTAAATAAGTAGCTACTATAATTATAATAATATTTGTCTAAATGTTTTTTATTTTACTTTTTTTTTAAATTTTTCTTTCCGCCACATTTTTCATTTCTTCAAATTATTTTTTTTTTTTACTCTGCTCTGTGGTATTCTACATGAAAAATTGTTAGTGCAAATGCAATTCTATTTACATACTGTTCCTATTCAGCATAACTTATGACGAATTTTTAATTGATGTCAACTTTTTATTTTCATTATAAAAAAAAGGAGCGTACGCAAAGAAACCTAGAAGAGAGCAGGGAAAACTCATCTTTTATTAAAAAAAAGATTTAGATGAAAAAAACACAAGCATATAATTCATTAGAGGGTTTTTCTTTTTTTTTTTACCTAACCAAAAAAATGTTCTTTGTATTACTCTTACTAACTTTTGTTTTAAATTTAAAATCCCATTTGTTTTGCGAAAGTGAAGCCAAGTTGCAAGAAATACTAATTGTATGTGAACTTTTCTTACGAAACTTAACAGAATGCAATAAAACCACCCTCAATACATGTATGTCAACACTTTGCTATAAGGTTATAAGGTTATATTAACACTGCAACGGCAAAAAGTGTTTGAAAAACATTTTGTTATGGCAACGCTAGGTCTTGAATTTTCCTCATTTTGATAGCAACTCTGACAATTGGAAACTGAAACCATTCTCCATTTACTTTAGTGTCTTTTTGACAATCAATTCAGTGTGAGATTTCTGTTGATTTTTTTTTCCTGCACTTTGTGTTCTATCTAAACAATAACAACAACAAAATAAGCAACCTTTGACAATTTCCTGAATTACACGTTTTTGTTTTTTTTTTTGTGTTTTTGTCAACTTTTCTACTTGAGAACAAGATTTATATGTTTATTTATGCACGCATTCAAAACAAAACATATGCCGTAGAATTTTTGTCTTCCGTTTGTGTTGCTGAGGTTATTCATAATATCACTGAGAGGTGTTATGAACATTTTGTATCTTTTAATGAAAAGCAAAATGAAAATGTCAAAAATAAATACAAATAACTGTGTGTGGATACATGGATACATTAACAAAAGAAAAATGGTATTACTGTTGGTTGTTGTTTTTCGTTCAATGGCGGTGTGATTCATACATATTTTTAATATGAGAGAATGCGAATGCGAATGTTTATGTATGTATCTAGGCAGACGAGCAAGTTTGCCTGGTAATGTGTATGTTTATCAAAAATAAAAGGAAAAAGCGTTAAAAAAAAATTCCACATTTTAACAATTAAAAATTAATAAAAAATGTACAGAGTGCGTGAAAGTGACATAAATCACGAGAGGATCAACAACACCCATAAGAATGTATATTAAAATGCTTGCTGTTAATTAGTCATCACTTATGAACACAATATTTTGTTTATCGATTATCGATGGCATTTGACGGCAGCTTAACAATGAAGACCATAAGAACATTTTTCAGGTAAACAAATACGTTAATTAAATAAATGGATGAGAAATCAATAAAAAATTTTTAAATAAACAAACAAACACCAATTTTGATATATCGAGTCTTTGCTCGCAAAAGAGTTGCTTAGATATTATAACAGAGCAGCAAGCAGGTCTCGTTTAGTTGCCTTTGGAGGGTGTGTGTACATGTGTGAGTGGTAGACTCTATCGTTTATGGTTATTTAGTTAAATGATTGTTTTTGTTTTGTGTAGATTGTGCTATTTTCATAAATGACGTAAGCCTTTATTTAAAACGACTTTTGTGAAGCAATATCAGCCAACCAACCAACCAACTAAATACCAAAAGATAGACCTGCTGTCAGCAGAATTCAACCACACAGCTAAGCATAAACAACAACGAGTACAAGGCAGTGAACAATGAGATGTAAAAGAACAGACACAACATTAGCCAGCCTAGCAAGTACTGCAGTCATACATATATGTTGTATGTGTGTAATTCTGCTATGAAAAAGATAGTTTTATGACAACCTCTACTAAAGCACCGAAGAGTGCTTGTTCCATAAGAAACGGAAGAACACTGCTTATAAATTTTTTTTAGATATAAAGGTCAACATATAGTGCGACGAAAGCGGAAAAAAATTGAGAAACAAAATTCACGCTTAGTACATATCCTATGATGTGAGCTTCAAGAAACATGATTGGCAAGATATGTGGTCCGCTTCCCAATAAAAATGTTGAACGTCTACGAGAAAGTGTAGAAGAGATTATGGGGAAATTTCTAGCTGATTTTGCCAGCATGTACACACAAACTGTATTAAGCTAGCTTGAAATGAACGGTACTGAAAATTCGTTGAAAACGAATGAAACTTTTTGTTGTTCTGCGCTTATGCTCGGCCATTAACCCAAACAAATGATCTAAATTACAAAAATCAGTGCTCACATTATCGTTACTTAAAATAGTGCTCAGAAAACAACTACGGAACATTTCTTTTACTGTGAGACCATATGCGCTTGTGTACCGGCAATAATAGAATCAATTATGAATATCTCTTCGGAACAAAGCGCCTATCACCAATTCCTTCTTCAAAAAATGATTTAGACTCATGAAGAAGATCAAGACAATAAATTATTTATTAAAAATTCACATCAGCACATAGGCATTGAGTTGTTTACCTTTGCTTTAAACAAAAACGAGTAACGTTTGCGTTTAATGGATACACGAGCAATATTGAAAAAAAAACGAAAAAAAAACATTAACGCTACAGAAGCGTAACATTAGAAAAAGTGAGAAAACAGACTTGATAATAAGTCTAACCTATATGCAACGAACCGAATTGGAACGAAAGTATATGCGAGAAATATAATAAAAGAGAAATTATGAGCCGATTGTTTTAATACCTCCCAATAACCTTTATATAAGTACGTACGTTCCTTTTTTCAATATATCGAGAAAATTCATTAGGCTCTCAGACTAATTGTAGGGCAGAAATAAAGCAGAAATGGAAAATAAAATTAGAGACAACTTGGCTGCACCTTACAATTGCTTTAAACATTAGTTAGTCCGAAAATTTGTCTTAGGTTCCCTACAATCTCTCCAATCATTACGCGTCGATCAACTTCAAACATAACCTTTAGTTAATCGTCATCAACTGCACTTGGCTTGCCAGAAGGCAGTAAAGCTTGCACTGAATATTTCCAGATCGAAATTTCACAAATCAGGCTTGGTAAGGCCGGTCTGCTAAAGCATTAGTTCCATACACAATACATGTTTCTTTATGTGCTTGTAAAGCTCTTTTGGCTTTTTTTGAAACAAAAACATAAAATATGTGTTATGGGCCCGCTTTGATCTTCTAAGCCTTATTTATGTCTCACTCTTATTAAACACCCGATCACTGTGAGAAGTTGTTTTATAAAATGAACATAAGTCTGCAGCTATTTTCGTTGTCTTTAACAATTCCTTTGTTCCTTTTGGCATATGTGGAAAGAATTTTTTTTTTTTCGTTAAGTTTCAATCTTTTTCCCAAATGCCTGAAAGGAACTACCAAAGGGGCAAAAAAGTCTCTACTGGAAAGTTTCAGCCTAACATCTTGTACGGCTTGAGTTAAGATGTCTTCATTTAAACACTATTACAAACTAAAATACGTTGGCGGCTACTGTCAAACTATAGTTTATCTTCTTAAAAGAGCTTTCTTATCTTCCACAGTGAGATAAAATAATTAAATGTCAACTTGCATACATTAGATCATATTGAAAATTCTCCGCGGTATTTTCTGCGGGATGGTGCTGATGCTTATATATATATATATATATATATATCAGGCAACACTCACCTGGTTGTCTCGAACGAAGATAGGCTTAAAAAAGAGACATTTCAGCTTACACTTTTTGTGAAAATAGGTTTCCACCTCTTTGCTCATGTAAAAAGCTATATTACTTTGAAAATGAAGAAATACGCCATGTGATGATGGAAAATGTAAAAAGGTTGAAAAGAAAAAGAAAATTTGTGAAGTGTATGGTGAGAGAAGGCAGTGCACCTAAAAAGAGCAGACTACAAACAGAAGCTCGAAACAGCGGAAACAACCGCGGAAACTTTTTAATATAACCTATTATTACTTGTATTGCATCGTTATAAATGCGCTATAAGAAACTGTCATTTCGTTCGCACTATTCGCAAAAATACCCGGAAAGAGTTTTACTTAGAGAATCACTACGAATGTATTTGGTTCGGTCCATCTATTGTTGCCGTTTTCCACATCCTCCGAATAACGGCAGTATACTGAATTTAGCAAAAATACTTCTCAGCCTTTTACTTAAACTACTTTTGGAGATGAAGTCTTTGTAAATTGCAGTAGATATCGGGCGAAAACATTGCTAATGCGTTAATAATATTCTGTGAATCCTTTTTGCTAATTAACATCATGTTCACGATGATCAAATTTAATAAATTTGTTTTATTTTTTAAATACTCAACATAGTTTTGAAAGTCAAACTGTTAACTTTTTATAATAAACGTGTTCACGTATGGATAAGAGCAATAATGCACAGAGAATGGCCAGTGACGTTATGTAGATGACATTTCACTTACTTTCTAAATAGACAGTATTTTTATTAATAAATTAATTTAGAAAAGAGAAAATAATAATTAAAAAAAATTCTTCCCATCTCAGCGCACATAAATCAATTTAAAGAGATTTCAAGCTATTATGTTAATTGGAGGCGTACCAGTTAGACAATCGAGACCTTTTCGCTATGACCTTTCATCGTATTCTAAAATTGCATTCATTTTCAAACATGATCTGCGGCCGTCAGCGAAAAATAGCTGCTAAGTTTCAACTTTCTATCCATCTATATATAGACAGACGGAGAAAGCTAAAATAGCTCGCAATCTCAAGTAGAACCACATACACTCTATATGGAGTGTAAGCGAAATTTTGTAAATGTCAACGTTCGGTGAACTGATTTTGATGCATTTCTTTTTAGGCGATTTATTCATAGTCTATGATTATACCTTACTTCAGTTAGGGTACAAGGTATATTAAGGTTGTCCGGGCGGTTGTACCACCCCGAGGGACGTGAGACAGACCCAGCTTTTATTATACCGATCGATTCAGAAAACGCTGCCGATGATCTAAGCTTGTCTGTCCGTCCGCATTCTGCCAATGTACCCTTGTGCTTTCGCATTTTTCGAGATATTTGGATGACATTTGATACGCTGACGTGTTTTTGCTCAAGGACAAACGCTATTGAAAATTGTCCTGATCGGATCACTTTCTCGACTACTCCTCTTATAAAACCCTATTTTTTTAAGCCGCTATAAGAGGAAATATTGTAACTTTCAGAAACTCGCTCCAAAAATCGCCTAGTACTAGCATTCCGGCGGGGGTGCTAACTTTGGATCGGGTGGGCCAATTTTTTAAATGGCTTGCCTTCCAATCCATCCCTACGGAAACTGAATGTTCAAATGGTAAATACTACCCGATGAAAATTCGTTCCTAATAATAATTTATCATGAAACTAATCCTAATATACGCCTGTAGATTTATTTTTTGAATACCAGCCCAAACAAGGATTCTAAAGCGGAAGAAGACTTTGTGGGCCAAACAGTTCTAATCTTTAATATTTTATGATGGAAATTTGTCATTAGGTAATCAAACCTATGAAAGTTGGATCACATCTAGACCGCACTATATATATAGGGGCTGTCATAAAAGCAAACCCTATGGCGACAAAGACTAATTTATGATTTATTATGACAGAAGCACCTGGACAAGGTTAGCTGAATTTAGACCACGTTGACATTTGACTATCCTCCAATGTGAGGGTTTTCGCGAAAATTATGCATTTATATAAAAATAATGTGTAATTTTATGGTTATATTATTAATTGACCTATGGTATCTATGGCTGACACTGCCCGACTATACCCGGTTAGATCAAAATTTATGATAAATATTTTTGTACAGTTTTAAAACTATATCCACCATTTTTACACTCGCTCTCCAAGTCGTAGAACAAATTCGTGGATTGTGTACTTTATAGAGCTCTCAATACGTACCCTAGAACGTAGCAAAGCTGGCACAATTGCCCACTTTTTCCGAAATGCGCAGGACAAATATACCTTTCGTTCGGCCCTGCAGTAAGAATTATGAGAACTTTTGGATTGGACTTAAACTAAATGCGTAAGCCATTGCTATAATTACTTCAGAGTTTGAAGTTGATGGAAAATTCAAAAATATACGTTTAAAAACTTAAAACGTAAATAGCTAAAATTCACATCACTGCAGCAACACGAATAAAGACAATCTTCTTATTACGTCTAAAACTACAACGATATATAAATTTATTTACTAATCCATTATTCCAACAATGCTAGCATAAAAATCTCTTTCCGTAACAACGACTCTCTTGGGATCTCTGCAATTATTGTGTGTGTGTGTGTGTGTGTGTGTGTGTTTGTTTATGTATGTATGTATGTATGTGTGTATGAGTGTGTGTGTTTGCATGCATAGATGCTCTCTTCGCTCGCCCTCAGACCGAAAGATTGAAAATTGCACTCACTACGTAGCGTCAGTTGGACAATTCATTCATATCTTTACGCCACTTATAAACGGTGTTTAGAAAGCATTCGTTCGTTTGCCTTTGTCGTATACGCGCGTATTATACGGCTGCAATACTAGGTGATATTTACCGAGATACAAGCATCTAAAAAACAGTTTATATCTCTGTACTCAGATAATTTGAACGTTTTAAACGTGCAGACATCTAACCGATGAGCATTTAATTTTTTCCTCACTGCTTGCTCATATCATTTCTAAATTTAAACTTGCAACAAAAAAAAAAACCAATGTGAAACGATTTAGTTTTACTTATAATTTACAAAAAAAATAAATAAATAAATAAAAATAAAAAAATAATAATAATAATATTTACATAAAATAAGAATTCCGCTCATTAGAAAATTTAAGCAAATGTTTGGTGCGAAAAGTTCAATACACGTTTTATCATATTACAGCGATTTTGTAATATTTTTTGTTTTTGTTTTTTTTTTTTTTTTTTTTTAATTCAATGCTCTTGTCGCTGCCTTTTTTACTCTCTCCACGCTTATGCAGAATTTATCTTTTAACGTAAACTTACGAGCATATTGCAAACGGAAAAATTAGTTTCGTTATCAATTTATTCGTTTAAAGTAAACATTGATAGACGTTTGTGTGCGCGCAGAGCTAGCTACTACTCTGTGCAATTATTACTATTACTTTTTTGTGGTTTTATGTAAAACTTATGCTATTAGCATTTTTAATTAAAGCAACATATAAGGGCATGGAATAAGCAAAAAAAAAAAAAAACAAAATGACGATAATAATAAAGATATAATGTGTTGATAAATATACCGCAGTTGAAAACAAAACAAAAAAAAGAAACGTTAAGAAGGAAATTATACAAAAAAAAAAAAAAAAAAAAAAAAGAAACGGCAAATATACCGCCGCATAAACTGCATCTCCATGATATAAAGAAAGCGGAACGAAAAATAAAAGATGGGTTTAAGAGCGAAAACTGCCAGCACTTCATTAAATGCCAACAATAAACAACAACAAGTGCAAAACTGTAAGTTTTTAAATGGCAATAAACGGTGCAACAATAAAAGCATGCCTCAACAGGCGATATTATTGGCCTCATCGAATCCCGGCACCACGATCGGCTGCATAAAAAGTTCAGCATCAATATCGACTTTAGCTAAGCAATTGCAACCGAATGCGAATAGAGAGACGAGATGCAGCATCACCAGCATTCACAGCACTACTACGTATCGCAGTAACTCTTCATCAGCTTTGCTGACAACAAACAATATGCGACCTCAGACATTAAATGTTCATAATCGTCGGCAGACCCCAACGGATCATACGCAATCATTTCTGGGGTATGTGTTTTTTATTTATTATTATTATTATTTTATAATTTTTGCCTCTCTTTTATTATATATTGTATAATTTTTTTTATATATTTTTGTTATATTTGAATTTAATTTTTTAATTATATTTATTTTTATTATGATTCCCTGTGTCGGTGGCTAAAGCTATTGCTGCTGCCCTTCCGATAGATTTAAGAAATGATTCGATCGAAAGATTAAAAGATATCTACTTCTTTCCTGTGCTTGTGACCAAGGGTAGCCTACTGTTTCGCAGATGTGTTTATATCTGAAAAAAATCTTTAAAAGCGACCGACAACTCTTTAGTTATTTTTCTCGCATTACTTTCTTTGCTGTCTTTGCTAAGTTGTGTATCCTGCTCAACATTTTTTTTTTTTTTTTTTTTAATATGATTAATTAACACTCAGAAGATGTCCCCAATACGGATAACATGGCAGTGGTTAAAAAGAAGTGGGAACAGAAATAGAGATTTGACAGCATTCTTGGGGATGTGCACACAACCTGTAAGTGATCAAGTATGCTCTATCGCACTTGAGTTTTGAACCTGGGAAAACTGATTTGGTAGTCGCGATTCTTATCTACTCGACTACTCATGTGGATAAATAAATACGCAGATAAACAATAACAATAGATAGATAATATAATAGACTTTATTCGATTAAGTAAATTTCATTTTATTTACCTATCGTTAACTATTCTAGTGGAACTGAAAGGTGAAGAAACTCTTTAGACGGGAGATAACGATAATTGTCCATAAACAAAATACTGTTCCTTATTGTGCATACAATGTAGGGAAGTATATCCCCGGTGTGTTAGAAAAGTGGTAGCCGCTACATAAATCTCTAAACGAAATCCCCGAACTAAATTTAAAAGTTGTTGCTCATGATAACTCAAAAGTTAAAATAAATAAATAAATAAATAGTGAAGTTACTTGAATACTCTTTTTGTGTATAATGTGCCGACGGACGAATAACGAGATGGTAAACGAAATCTGAAGCGTTTCTTAGATGACTCTTTTAAGTAATTATCCATACAAGTAACCAAATAGGAAAGAATCGTGACTACCACGGTCAGTCTTCACGTGTTCGAATTTAACTTCAGGAGAGAATACATGGTCGTGGCTACAGTAAATGCGCTCTCGATAAAAGCATCTGCTAGGCTGTGGCCATTGCCTATCTCTTTTCTTTTGACCTTTTTATACACCTATAGGAACATACGTTGAATGGGTAGTCATATTAAAAAGGAGAAAAGATCTCAACAAACTGCTAATGGAGTGAGTGAATGAAGAAGAAAAGAAACTGTTAAGTCTGAGTGTTAAGACCAATCGGCAGCCGAAATGATAATATTGTGTAAATTCACTTAATAATAGCGTAAGCCTTTAGCCGCCACGTCTTGTTCTTGCCCCATTCAACAAAAGGCACTTTGGTAGTCTAAGTTGTTGTAGCTAAATACTTGCGGGGTGAGGACCTTCATGGTTAACCGTCAAAACTGTTTGAATAATAGATGGATGTACCCGTTAAACTTAGGAGGATCGTTCGATGATCTTATATTACGCATACATCGTCGTCGTCTTCTAGAGTCAGAAAGGCGGATACAAGATTAAAAGCTTCACTTTGACAATAAATTTTAATTATTCGTTGTGCTATCTGTTCTCATGCTTTAGACAATATACCTGAGCTTTTAAATAATGTAAAATTTTGAAGTTTAACTGGGGTTATGTTAAAAATTCTCAGAGTTTATAGTTCGTTCGTTGCAACTGAGATTCTGTAATGGTGTGGTTCAATGTTAATCCCTGGCCGTATTGAAATCGTAAGATACAAAGGTTTCATATTTTTTATTTGTCTGAAGGCGTGTTTATTTATCTCTATGAGGTCTTAATCCATGGATTACGAATATGAGAATAGTTAGGTTAAGCGCCTGTCTACGAACTCCCATGACTTATATTTATTTTTATAAAATTAGTTAATTAATTTATTAATTGACAATGCGAATCTTCTTAATAAATTTCCGGTCATATATTATAATGCAAAGAAACTCAATGAATATGTCATGGTGGTGGTCCTTTTTAATGTATTTTTAATAGAATTATGAAAAGAAAAAAAAACATCACATGTCGTCCACTTATCTATCATGTTTGTGGGCATTTGCTCCATTGTACTAATAAACGAAAGATAAAATTTATTTATTTATTTATTTATATATTTATTTTTTTTTTTTTAATTTCATTTATGTGATTAATTTTTTACAATTTTATTGTGAGGCTCGGAATTATATACACAATCGCACAACGATTCGCCGCAATAGTGTCAGAGCTACTCGTTCGCATTCAGTCGTCTACTTTAGCATTCCCTCGTCCGGTCTGTCTGACATTTAGCCAACAACGCTTAGGCAGTCAAACAAGCGACAACAGCACCACCGATGGTATTTCAATAATATTCTGTCATCGTTATTTTAAATCATGTTTTTTTCTTTCCTTTTTTTTTTTGCTTTTTTTTTTATTATTGCTGTTGTATGCTGGCGTTGCGTAGTTGTCGTTTCGTCTGTATACATATATATTCACACCCACTAATATCGTCAACAATTTATTGTTTCTGATGATGATTTTTTTTTGCTTTTTTTTTTTCTTTTTGTTTGTAAAAAATCTTTTTGTAAATATTTTTGTTTTTTACTTATTATTATAAATGATCGACGACAATATCATTGAACTTGATCTTTGAAAACCATTAAGCGCGTGTTGCATTTTAATTAAAAGCAAAAAAAAAAAAAAAGAACACATTTTTCCACTAAACAATTTGGGAAGAGCGCAGAAAATAGGAAATCTACGATATGAACAATGCAAACAGAGACACCATCGCACAGAGAATCATGTGCAATTTTAATTGTCATCATGTTGAAGATCTACTTAAAAAAAACAAAAAAAAACAAACAAACATAAAAAAAGTGGTATCATTAAATAAAATGAATGGGAAAGATTTCATTGACCCCATGATATTCATGCGGCAATTAAACCGTTAAATTAATGGGTTTATGATTTATTTTATTTTCATTTTTTTTTTATCGAAAGAAAAAACTATGAAAACGAACAATGAATTTCGTATCAGATTGTTGTTGGTGCATTTCCTGTTCTTATTTGATCAGAATGTACACTAGGCGCTGAAAAAAGAAAACAAGCAAAAATAACAATGAAACCAGGAAACGAGTCTAGTTCTTCTCAAGTATTTGCTGCAAAGACTAAAGTTGTAAAATTATTAAAATATCTATAAGGGATTAATATTTTATCAATTTTTTTTGCAAACTTATTTCTGGTGCTATATTATAACAAAGACAAAAACCCTATTCTTTCATTCACATTTAATGCTTAACGCTAATGCGATCGTAACAAGCTTTTGACAATCATGTGAACTGTGAAAAAACTCTTCTACTTTAAGCGAAAAATTCTTTACTTTTTGTTAATCTTGCGCGGAAGTATGTAACACCCAGAGGCAGGTGAGTTAGTCCCAACCGATCCGTCCAGAATTACTTGTCTGTCTTCTTGTTTACAGGCCGCAATTTCGAAGGTATTTTGATTATATTTGGTACACTGGTGTGTTTTGGCTCAACGAAGGACGTAAAGTGCCTCTGATCGGATCACTTCCCTTGAAAGATTTGAAAAATCTTTATAGCAATAATTGTAAGGCCATGTAAGGCATTTAATGATGGTTCGTAACCCGCTAATACTGTCTTTACTTGTTTTAGACCAACGATTACAACTAAAACAAAAATATGTATACATAAATTTGGAATTAGTCATGAGGTCATAGTTAACCCTCATCACGAAAGGTGCTTTACTGTACCACGAAGTACCCTACAGCCTCAAAGTCAGAAGAGATTCTCGTATCTTAGACGGAAAGAAGCCGATCGAGAACGAAATTTGCGATAGAGACGCGTTGACAAGCTATCCCCACAAACGCTGAGGCTGAGGCTGAGAAACTAGGAATCACATTTTCGGAGCTTGCATCAATAAATAAATTATTTCTTATCTGACTTTTTTTTTATAACAAATTATATGTACCTATATATAATATTTTGTGTTTGTGTACGGCTTGTTTGAATAAATAAACGAGTTTAAATTATAAACAAACATAATAATTAATTAATAATTTAATTATTCCCATGATTCTCATAAGAGACTGAGAGGCACGTCTTAGTATGATTCATTGCAAAGCCACCTGTCAGAATTAGGATTAAAAATTTTCATCATTTCGCAAAAAAACCCTCTCTCTCTCTCTCTCTCTCACACACTTTCGATCTAACATAAACACAAAAATCATATAGAGATCACGTTGCTTTTTTCTAAATTTAAAAAGTTTTTTTCAAAAATTTCTCGAAGGCCGTGCATAATCTGCCTTTTTTTCGTTTTTTTTTTATTTAATGAGTTATATTGGCGAGCAATTTGCTGCATTGCTGCATTGGCAGGGTCTCCCACAGATTGTTTTGACGCCCAACGCAGCCTTCACTGCTTGGGCCTTAACCCAGATTTATATTAAACGTCAAATTTTATAAAGAAGTGATGATATCATTATATGGTCGCAAGTATTTTGCCGCACCCTACAACACTTGCGGTGGTTCATCAAGTCTGTGAGAATAATTGTAACTCCAAGAAAAATAGATCCAGCTTTTATGTATTATATTATTTATTATATTAAGAGTGATCAAGAAACGATTTAAGCTTGTCTGTCGGTCCGTCTGTCCGTCTTATATATTTGTGTTCAACGTATAGGCCGTAATTTTTAAAACGTTTTGATGAAATTGAGCGCACGGGCATGTTGTAGTCTAAGTACGAAAGTTGTTGGACCGAATAACCTTTTCGGCCATTTCCGTTATAACGACTTAATTTGAAAAGTCCCCATATGAAAAACTGGAAGGTGAAGCAAAAAATGTAGTAAAAAATGCAGGTCCTTGGCCTACTACTACAGCGCTTTTCCATTACATACGCCCAGCTATTGAATTAG